TGTCATAGGTCAAAGATCGAACCGAAATTGATATTGAATTTGAAATTTTCACTCAGGAATTCCCCTCTCACAAGGATAATTTGAGTAGAGAGTTTGAAAGTTTTCGTTGAGGATTTGCAGGTGTGTTTTCAATTTTTAATTGTGAATTCAAGTTGTCAAACGTAGTGTTGATTTTAACAAAACATTTGTTAAATATAAGTTACTGATTTTCATAGAGGTTTTAAGAAGGTACACAGAGGAAGCTCAAATGTATTTTGCAGCTTGTGTTTGAAGTTTGTTTGTTCATTTGTTTCTTATGGAAGATATTTTGTGAGATTTTAGGATGACAACTATCAAGACTCCTTGTTGGAGATTTGATAGTTACGACAAATAGATTTGGTGGGGTGGATATTTTAGATGTAAGGATCAGATTGAGAAGGAAAGCACGTGGATTTACTTCCAACTCAAGGACTGATCAAAGTATTTGAATCCTCACCGACTTGGAATGTTGTGATTGTAATAGGTGTTGTGGTTGTAAGGAATATTGTGGAAAGATTGTAAGAATATATGGAGTTTGTCCGAATTAGATTCTTGCACCGACCCTGAAATGTCATAGGTGGGAATCAAAATCCTTGCATCGACCTTGGAATGTCATGTATGTAGAGTCGGAATCCTTACACCAACCCTAGAATGTCATGAATGTGGAAAATTATGGATAGGATGTGGAAATTGTGTGGAAGAAATCAGAATCCCTGCACCGATCATGGAATGTTATGTATGCAGAATCAGAATTCCTGCACTAACCCTTGAATGTCATGAAAGTGGAAAATTATGGATAGGATGAGAAAATTGTGTGGAAGGAATTGGAATCCATGCACTGACCATGGAATGTTATGAGTGTAATAAATTATGGATAGAATGCAGAAATTATGTCGAGGGAATCAAAATCCCTGCACCGACCCTGAAATGTCACGAGTGCGGAAAATTATGGATATAGTGCAGAAATTGTGTGAAGGAATTGGAATCTCTGCACCGATCTTGGAATGTCATGAGTGTCGAAAATTATGGATAGAATGTGGAAATTGTGTGGAAGGAATCAGAATCCCTACAGCGACCTTTGAATGTCATGTATGTGGAATCAGAATCTTTGCATCAACCCTAGAATGTCATGTATATAGAATTGAAATCTCTGCACCGACCTTAGAATTTCATATATGTGGGAATCAAAATCTTCGCATCGACCTCGGAATGTTGTGATGTGAGAAAGTGTGAAAGCTATGGGAACCTATTTTATTGTGAGAATTGTGAAGCTTCTGGAATTGTGAGAGACATGAAAGTTCATAGAGGTTGCAAGATTTGCAGAGATCATGAAATTTTATGAAAGTTCTGCAGAAATCATAAGATTTGTGGAAAATTATAGAATTTACAAAGATGAAAATTTTGTGAGAACCGTGAGGATTGTGAGAATTGTGAACTTTTTAGAGATTATGAGATTTGTCAAAGTTTTAATTTGGAGACTGTTTTATCATTTTTGTTTGTCTTACTTTCATGTTTCTTCTTTTCCTTTTATAATTGTCCATTTCTTCGGAGTATCTTGTTTCATTTTGTCTGTTTGTTTTTTTTTTGTTATTTTTTTATGTTATTAACATTTCTTGTTTGTATCATTTCTTTTTTATTATAAAACTGAATCTACGTCTAGTTTAATGACTTTAAATTAATCTCACAACGTGACAAATTTAGAACATGTTAACTTGCATTGAACTGTTGAAATCAAAACGATCTTTGTCAATCTTCCTTGGAATTTGATATTGTGGGGTACAATCTGACAATACCCAAAACATAACAGCTACACTTATCCATAAATCATAGTTCTCCATGCTCTGATTTAGCAAAACCTTTCGATCTTCTAAAATTGTGTAGAGACCAGCCTCACCTCCTAAGATGTACTCTAGAACAAAAATCCCCTTGTATACGCTTAGAGGTGTGGTCTCATACCTCTAGAGGTAGTAGATCTTCCAGCTATGGGTCAGGCTGATAAAAATTGTGTAGAGACCAGCCTCACCTCCTAAGATATACTCTAGAACAAAAAACCCCTTGTATACGCTTAGAGGTGTGTTGTCTCATACCTCTAAAGGTAGTAGATCTTCCAGCTATGGGTCAGGCTGATAACCAAATGGCACTTTTACTGTCACCCATCTTTCTGAAAATAATTGAAACTCTTCTTTGTGGAACTCTAGGGATGTAGTGTTTTGCCAAGTCCTCCCCATTTCCCTTGAGTACCAAAACTGATCCAACAGGTAGAGGGATTTCAATTGGTCCTCGGAACTCTCCCGAGCCAACTATCCATAGGTCCTTGCCAAACATTATATTGCATATGTTTATGAAGGAGACTATGTAGAACAACCTCAAAAAGTCGTGACGATCGATATGGGGTGAAATGCAATCCCCTTCCTCGTAGGTGTTGATAATGCAACAGTTGGGTACACAATTCGCTGACAGGACGTGCCACGACACCATTCTCTTGATCGTTCTCTTTATAACTGGCAACATCAGATCCACTTCATCGTGTCTAATAATCCCTTGAGGATTTCCTTCATTATCACAGATGAAGTTGTAACAACATCAACATTGAATAGTGATTTTGTCTTTACCCCTCATCCATTTTTGGTGCTCTGAGTAAGTCCTCTTTCTCAAACAACCTACTCGACCTCTATCTCTTATATTGAAGACGCGGTCAGTTATCCTCATTTACTCACTCTCAAAAAATACATCCGTATGTAACTCTAATCCGTCCAAAATGTTGACATATTTTCTTGCGTCCTTTCAAAAAATTTCAAAGTTTTGCTTTCAAACCCTTTGAAACTTCTCCAACTCATGCTCTGAAATATTCTGAAGTTATTTTGGTTAACAAACTGCGGGATGTACGACTCGTCATATGGGTGAACTTCGCTCCTCTATACCACTGGAACTATGATGCATTCTGTCAGAGAAGCATTACACTTCATGCATCCTTCACACAAGGTTCGACTAGTGTATACTCTGGTAGGGTACGCTCCACATTTGGCTCTGCCTTTGTCTATCTTGTTGATAACTGGGGAAAAATATCCCCCACGGACTGATCTGGCATCTATTCCTCTTGCACAACTACTAGAACATCTCATGAAGCTTCCTCCCTAGTCAGTTTTCTTTTCAGACAATCAAGCATTTTATGTTTATGATGATTCATGGTTCTGCATTGTGTGCAAGTCTATGGCATCCTCTTGAGCGAACTTGTTGGAGCACTTTCCAATGGAGCGATAATGAGCTCTCCTTCTATCGCCAGGACCATAAACTGTAACTGTCTGACTCTCCCTGCTGGGTTGTCAGTTCCTCAAACTTTCTCTTCATCTTTTTTAAATTTCCTCTTTTTGTAGTCGTATTGTTTTCCTTACTCCTGAATCTGAGTACTGGTTTTAGCCATTCCATCTCTTCTCGACTAACCACATTTAACAGGTGTCCCCCATAGTCCATCCTGACTTGCACAACGTCCAGTATGGTTGTAGTTGTACCGCATTGCTAATTACGGGTTTTAAGCCTCTGAAATATCTGACAATCATGTGTTCCATTGGCTTTATCAGCTTGTGCTTTAGCTGTGTGGTCGAAGTGGGCTATGAACTCCTCAATTAATAGATCTCGTTGCTGCAAGTTGTGGAGTTTTAGGAACATGTCTTGGCAATGATGCAGTTAGAAATATTTTTTGTTCATTGCCTTCTTCATTTTCTCCCACTTAGTTATCTTCAATTTTTCCCTAGGATAGAAGTAGAGTTGAGCTGGTTCTGATACCAAACGATGCCATAACTAGTTGGTATGTGGCATAATTCAAAAAGAAGTAAAATTTATTAATATAAAATAATGATACAACACGAGTCAAATAAAAGAGAAATACAATAATAGACAAATTCCTAATTAGACCTAAAGGAAGAGCTTCGAAGGCGGTAGCAACGTCAGCGGGACGAGCAAGTGTTGGGTAGGTAGAGGATTGTGTGTGATTGGTTGTAGGTAGATTGGATGACGAGATCATGGAGAATTAGGGATGGTTGTAGAGTGGTGGAGCAATGTGGGGTTGGTAGATAGTTAGGGGATTGGTAGGGAAAAGGGGGTTTGTGAGTAATAGAGAAGGAGTTTGAAGTTTACAACACCTCATCAGAGCAGGATACAGTCGAAACACCATTTGTCATCAGTTACAACCCTAAAAAGAGGGGAAAGCGACAACACAAAGGAGATTAGAAAACAATTATGTAGAACTGCCTCCCTCACACACAAGGGACAACTATTTATAGCCTCCCACTTCTACACAAAAGGAATGGGCTGGAAAAGACAAGAATTATCCAGAGAAAAGAAACACTCAGAAGAAGACAGTGCATAAAACTTGAGAGACAGCCTCCCTGGGTCATGAAATATCGCGACCCCCATCCCGACTTCGTGCGTGGCCGCGGGATCATGACTCGCAATCCTTCACGCGAGATTGCGGCTCCCACGAAGTTTCAAGGGGATTCGACTCCTGCGGGATCTCCCTGCTTTCGGGGCGCATATAGCTTCCGCATCAACGCCCCCATTAAAGTAGGGGCAAACATATAACTTCACATATCATACCTCATTCTCTATAAATATGTGAATTATTTTATAAGAAAATTACTCATTTATAAGATCGATCACTATTCATTATTGTGCATTTCTCTTTTCACATATCTTTTTCTTTGATCTTACACTCTATTCCTTGGTTGTGGTTCAAAGACATATCATGATTCAACAAAAATATATAATTCATAGGACTTAGTTGCAAAATGTTAGTTAAATGCTTTCAAATTTCTATACATCATTTCCCTTAGACTAACAAATAATTGTATATTTGATTGATATTCTTAATGCAATGGCAAAACTGTAATATTGTAGAGCATAATGTCCAGATGGAAACTAGTAAATTCAAGCATGGCTCTTGTGGGCAAAGCTGTATATAGAGGCCAAGTGGTCGAGTCATGGCTTCAAGGCAAAACGCAGCTGGCTGCCTGGTTCCTCCCTGGCCTCTGCGAAGGATTCTGATCCAGCAGAGGCTTTCCCATTGAGGAGGAACAGACAAGAGGAGGAGAAGGAAGAGGGTCCTCTTTTCACCCATTCCAGGATTTGAGATGGATTCCAAGGGGAAGAACGTTGGGATTCTGGCCATGGATATCTATTTCCCTCCTGCTTGCGTTCAGCACAGGTTCTTTTTCTCCTCTAATGTCAGTTATGCCGGTCGCAGCTCTGAGTTTTCTTTTGGAAGAGGGTTGGTGGATTTCGGGTTGTTGGTTGTTAATGGCGTGAGCATGGTTGTTGAAGTTTTCTTTCTTTCTTTCTTTCCTTTTTTTTTTTTTTTTTTTGGTTTTTTGTTTTTGTCGGAAATTTTTGAAAATTTAGTATTATTTTGGCATAAGGTGTTGACCTCGGCGGCAGGCTTGAAATTGGATTCTGTTAAAGTAAAAGGTGTGAGTGATTAATCAATGGGGAATACCTATAATTTGTCTTGTTCAATGATATTGTAGATTTTTAGGCGTTTGTTTTTTTCTTGGTATGATTAATTTTTTGATTTGATTTTGGGGTACCATAGAGGAAGCTGCTTGTTAGGGTTATTGTGGGTCTCATTACTCGTCTAACTCATGTTCCAGATCTGTTAATGTGTGTCTGTATTTGATATAGGAATCATTAGAGGTTTTCGATGGAGCCAGCAAGGGAAAGTACACGATTGGTCTTGGACAGGATTGTATGGCTTTCTGCACTGAGTTGGAAGACGTGATATCTATGAGGTAATCCGTTCTGTTTTCGTTTTTCTTGTGTTTTGAAACCCGATGCATGTGATTATATGCTGCAGCATTTGGTTTTCCTGCTGTTTGCTAAGATTTTCCGTGTTAAGTGCTCTGTTTGTGGATTGAATTTAATTATTTTGTTTGGGAAGACAAATTTTTTGTGACTGCGTTTGGATATTTTGATTCTTAAACTTGGTTTAATTTTTCAAATCATTTTTGTTTTTGCTCAAATTTTGGTATAAATCTATGTAGATTGTATTATTCTGTTCAGGAATTGTTGGTGGAAACTAATGAATCCGTTCTTTCATAATGAAGTTTCAACGCTTATAGTTTTGTTTTATCCAAACAATGATTATTTGCTGAGATCCAATTGTTTATGATATTTTTTGTTCAGCTTGACCGTTGTTACTTCCCTACTTGAGAAATATCAGATTGATCCGAAGCAAATTGGCCGCTTGGAAGTTGGTAGTGAAACAGTGATAGATAAAAGCAAGTCTATCAAAACATGGTTGATGAGGATTTTTGAGGTTAGATGTTTTTCTGAAGTTTTTCCCCTAGCCTCAACATACAAGCTATATGGATCATTTACATACATAACACCCAATTCTTATCTATTTACATATCTAGCACCCAATCTTTATATTTTACATTTAACCACCCAATTCTTTCATATCACATCTAAAATACCACTACTTTAACTTATAAAAACTGAAATAAATATTTTCATGCGTAGGTAAGGTGATGTATATGTAAAAATTGATGTTTAGGTGTTAGATATGTAAATACAGAAGAATTGAATGGTATGTATGTAAATCTTCTTAATATTTATCATGTATTGGCATATCCATGGGAGATTTGACCTCTCTGTCGGCGCCACAAGGAAAATGCCACTCAACTCTTTTACAGTAGTTTCCTGCTTCTGATGATGAAAAATTTTGTTTGTTTAACTCTTCTCTGATTTGTAGTGTCTATATGCAAACTTTCAGGAATATGGTAATACTGATATTGAAGGAGTTGATTCTACAAATGCTTGCTATGGTGGAACCGCTGCTTTATTCAATTGTGTAAATTGGGTGGAAAGTTCTTCGTGGGATGGTAGATATGGACTTGTTGTCTGTACAGACAGTGCGGTATGTTTGTCAATCCACGCACACAATTTTGAAAAAAATGCCGCATCAATAGAATGATAAAATGATCATCTAAAGTTTCAATGTCACCATTCATAGAATTACCAATCTATAAATCATTTTCGGTTCGATATGTTCATCCACTACATGTTGACATGAATATAGGTTTCTTTGCATCATCTGTTAAATATGATTTTACATTTTTATTCATAAAGGTAACTTCATATGGTTAAGGGGCTATTGCTGAGTAAGAAAGATAATTGATTACAGAGTAAAGTGTCCAAATAGCCCCCTAACTATTTACATAGGGTCATTTTAGTCCTGGAGTCTATAAAAATTTCAAATTAATCCCCATATTTTTTTAATATGGGCTGCAATAGTCCCCATGGATGATTATTTTATCCTATTGCGATTAAATTTGCACTTTTATAGACTATGTACTAAAATGGACGCTAAAAAGAGTTAGAGGACTATTTTGACACTTTTTTCAATTATATCTATTTCTTGAGTTGCACATTTGCTAGTAATGTATTTCTTAAGACATGTATCATGGCCTTCAAAATTTTGATGATTTATGAATAGAAAACGTATGTGTGATATATTTGTTTTCATCAGGTTTATGCAGAAGGGCCAGCTCGGCCTACCGGCGGGGCTGCAGCTATAGCAATGTTGATTGGCCCGCATGCTCCAATTGTTTTTGAAAGTAAATATAGAGGGACTCACATGGCTCATGTTTACGACTTCTATAAGCCTATACTTGCCAGCGAATACCCGGTTTGTTTCATTCCACCATGCTTTTACATGGCAGTTTTGTTGAATTATTTGGTTATCATTTGACATTAAATTATATAACTTTATTTTTGTTCTTTTCAGGCATCTCTTTTTTGATTGGTTTTAAATCTATTTGATGTATTGCATTTGTGCATAAAATGATTTCCCTTTCTATTATCATAGTTTTAAGGGTAGTGTCTGTCTTTCTCTCAGTTTTTTGCTTAGAGGAAGAAACATGAACTATATAGTAGAAGTTAATGCTAGAAAAAAAATGACAGAATTGTTTGAATAATTTTCTGAATTAGCCGATTTGTTAAAGAAAAAAACAGGATACAAAATCAAAATCTTATAATAGACATCCCTCACAATAGGCAGTTTAATTTGGATATAAAGGTGATATTTGATGTTCATATGAACAATTTTCTGATTTTTAATGTAGAAATTTAAAACATAAAAAAAAAAACAAAACAAAATGTTAACAAAATATCGTAGTATATTACTGCACTTGGTAAAACATAAAACAAATCACTAAACTCCTTAACATGCATTATACTTTCTTTATAAAGTAGCTAAACGGTAGATTTTGGATGCCTAGGTTTGCATTAATGGCATCAAATTTATCTGTTTTTTAATCCAGTTTATTGAATTACTAATCAATATTTGGAAAATTTTTCTTATTAAAACATCAAATGCTCTTCAGAATGTTGTCGATAAACTGAAATTAACAGCCAAATTATTTCTCAGTCGGGAATAGTTCAAAGGATGCATTGAGCTGAAACCAAACAATTTGGATGTTGCCATTTTTAATTTTGACTTTGGATGTTTAGTATGAATGCATAATACATGATGAATATGGCTCTCTCATTCCTTTTGTGTTTTTTTAGGTTGTGGACGGAAAGCTATCACAAACATGCTATCTCATGGCCTTAGATTCATGTTACAAGCGTTATTGTAGCAAGTAAGCTTGTGATTCTTTGTTTGCTTTAAGCTGTGTGGTAAAATCTGACACTGATGAGATTTTCTCGTAGGTATGAAAAATTTGAAGGGAAACCATTTTCAATTTCTGATGCTGACTCATTTGTATTCCATTCTCCATACAATAAGGTATCAGAAATATCTTACTTTAACCATGAACTTGCAGATTGTAATTTCTGATTTGTATAAAGGTTTTATTGGAGAAATTTTTTCCACTAACTTATAGACTGCTGTAACAGCTTGTACAGAAAAGTTTTTCACGGCTATACTTCAATGACTTCCTGCGTAATTCGAGGTACATCCTGCTGTCCAACTTGCAGTAATTTTAGTTCTGCATCTATCAACCTTTTATTTCTGCTATATGTTTGTTGGTAGGATAATACAAGTACTGAAATTTAGTAATTTCGGTCATTCTTTTTATGCATATCTTTTTTTATCAACAATTCTTTTCCACGGTGTAGAGTTTCAGTGAGAAACATGGCAGTGAATATTTGATGCAATGCCTTGTCACCTTTTAAAGTGAATTACACTCATTCGGTTGTTGAATTGGTTTCTTTTTACTGTTATGTTCTTGATGATGTATAAAAGATCTTTATCATGCTTCTTCTTGTCTCATAAAATCAGTATTTGTGCCTAACACGATATTTATATACATATATTTTAAGGGGCATTTATGTACTTTACACAATTTTTATGTATTTACATTATCTCACACCTAAACTTTCATATTTATACACATAGCACTCAAATCTTTAACATTGCATAAAAAATAGCACTATTAACACATTTTAAAAGTGAAATACATTCATGCATAGGTTTAAAGTGCCAAAGTGCTATGTATGTATGAAAGTTTAGTTGTGAGATTTGTAAATACATAAGAATCATGTGCTACATATGCAATTTTCCCTTTTTTTTTTTTAACATTCTATGGTTCCACATTGGGAGAAGGACTTCTTCTTGTTGTCATTGTTGTATTCTATGGTTCCACATCAAACCCAATTATATATTACTAAATGGGCTTTCAACGTGCTTTTACCATAATACATTATTAGTAACATAATCACCCAATTTCAAAGGCATTTTTCCTCTCTCAGCCATGAAATGAGTTCTATAATGTATTATTCCAAGGTTTGCAGAGCTTTAAAATGGTCTTTTTCTTCTGCGACATTATGTATTTCTATCAAAAATCAGCTTTTTAATGATGCTAACATTTAGCTACCAAAAATTTGTGCATCGCTTTATTTGATTATTTGTGCCATTCCAACACAATTTTTGCGTGCAAAACTGACAAACTAATTTTCATCAAATTGCTTTTTCATCAGCCATGTGGATAACAGTGCAAAGGCAAAACTGGAGCCATTTCTAAATTTGTCAGGTGATGAGAGCTATCAAAATCGCGACCTTGAGAAGGTTACAATCTGATCTTTCCCTGGTATTTAATTTTAATTTAAAAAAAAAATCATATTTTCTAAGATATTTTTCAGATCGCTCAACAAGTATCAAAGCAATTTTATGATGAAAAAGTTAAGCCATCTACATTGATTCCAAAACAAGTTGGAAATATGTATACAGCATCCCTATATGCTGCACTTGCATCAGTTATTCATAATAAGCATAGCACCCTGGTAAATCTCTTTATTATGTTAGTACTCTTAATTTTGTAAATTCCTTTTCTTTTTTTGTAAATTTAGTTTTATTTATTAATTTATTTAGTTATGCTTACAGGTTGATCAGCGTATAGTTATGTTCTCATATGGCAGTGGCCTTGCTTCAACCATGTTTTCGTTAAAGCTTAATGGTGGTCAACATCCATTCAGCTTATCACACATAGCCTCAGTGCTAAATGTTGTAGAAAAGCTAGAGGCGAGACAAGAGGTATATTTCTGTTAGAATTATAATCCTAATGTTAATATTGGAGAAAAGCTTAATGGTGATCATTTTGATTCTTCTCTTGTTCATCAAGCACGCATCATCTAGTTACAATAATGATATGTTGATTCCTATCCATATCTTTGGTCTCAGTTTTCGCCGGAGAAATTCATCGAGACAATGCAGCTGATGGAGCATCGCTATGGAGCGAAGGATTTCGAGACGAGCAAAGACACGAGTTTGCTCTCTCCTGGTACGTTCTACCTCACCCATGTGGACTCAATGTACCGGAGATTTTATGCTAAGAAGGCAATCAGTGTGGCCGGAAAAGCTGCTGGCCTGAGTGCCAACATTCTTGCCAATGGCCACTAGAGTAGGTGCTAATGGTGATATGTGCCAAGTCCTTCTATATGTCTGGAATGTATTCCTCTATGAGCAAAAGCCTTTTATAATTTGTTTCTGATAATTGCGGCAAGAATTTAATGTTGTTTTTATTATTATTAGATTTTATTATTTTCAATTTGATTGCTCTCTTAGTAGACTTATAAATTAATTGATGGTTTAAGCATTGTTTTAAAAATTAGATCCGACCAGCCGGTCTGATTTATTCAATCGTGTCGGCTTGGTCCAAGCTCTGAAAATGCTTCCGCACAAAGTCACATAGAACCACGATTGAACCAGTGAGTCGGCTCGATTTTCTTATAAACATGTTAATTCTAATAGTAATTAGTTTTTTTTATGGGTGATTATAAATAAATGTTTAGATTAAAATAAAAAAAAATAGTTAAAATGTTGTATCCTTACTATTTTTTATTTAAAAATATTCAAGGGTGAAATATTCTCCATTAGAATATTGTATGACAATGTGATGAAAATGTCATTATTGCATTACTATTTGATTATTTAAATTATATTAAACATGTTAATATTTATTATATCATTTGGCTCCTATTTTTAATTTAACTCTGGGGAAGACTGTTTAACCTTAAAACATCTCCTTGAACAATTGGTGAGGACCTTGGATATCAGTGGTGTTAGCCAACTAAGTTGTTTGAGTAGGGGGGTATTTCTATGATCGACTACTTGGACTGCTCTGAACATGGATTTACTATTTGGAATGTTAAAAGATAGTTGGGACTATGCCCATAATGTATAACATGCACCCAAATTGGCTAGTTTGAATTCTCTTTCATTGGAGCTTTTCTTTGTTGTTGGTTTGATGCTCTTGGAGTCATGAATTTCTTTAGTATTTCAGCCTTGATCAGTTTCTCAATCAGGTTCTGGATGTGCTGACAATCTTCTATATTATGGTTGTGATCCCGATTGTACGTATTATACTTCTTCGACTCAAAGGCAAGCTTCGATCTTCATTGGGGGAGCTCTCTTGAAGTATTCTTTATTCTGGATAGTCCCTTCTATCTCAATCATTGATACCATCAATGGGGTTGTCTTGAGAGTCTCGTGATGGGGCAACAAGTGCTCATTGTACCGAGTCGGTAGTTGATCATGATATTGCGTTTGATTCTCATAGTGGTAGGATCTTTCGGTTCCCTCTGTGATCTTAGAGTAGCCAATTGTATTCATAAAGTCGATGAGCGGAGTGAGGAAAATATTCCCTAGTTCTTCACCCGTCGTCCCTTGGGGCCCTCTTCTACAGACGACGGGTAGAATGCTTTGTTATAGAGAAAGTTGGGGTAGAGTTGTTTTTTCTTGGCCGATATATGATTGTTGATCAGCTCCAAAAAATTAATTATGGTCTTTAGTTGATGTAGGCCTACAGCATATTGGAATGGTCATTCTTTCAAACCTTGGGCCAAGGCATCACATGCTACCGTGGGTTTTAGATTCGGCACTTCCAACATCTCCTTCCGAAGATGATTGATAAACAAGCAGAGGCTCTCATTCTACCCTTACTCGACCCATAGTAGGACCTGTGAATTCTTCTGGATGCTCGCAAACTGCGCCACAAATATTTGCTTAAAGTAAGCAAATGAGATAGTCACTCCTTGGGTTAAACCATGGAACTACATGAGGATCGACTCCCTTAGTGTGGTCAAGAAAAGATGACACTTTAGTGCATCGATGTTCCTCAACAACCGTGTGGTCGACTCAAATGAGGTTATGTGGTTGGTTGGATCAGTCTGACCCTTGTATGTTTCTAGTGCATGGATTTTAAACATCTATAGGTGCTCGACCTTAAAGATTTGTTAAGAGAACACATTCTATGCTAGACAAGGCATCTCAATGTAGCTAAAAAACTGTCTATCCATTGGCACCAACCCAACACTCAAGCATTAGGAATCTCTTTCCC